TTAGAATATAATTTCTGTGTTAATAACGAATGTATAAATACAGTATCACAAAGCACCTGTAAATCAATGGTTACACACAGAGCCACCATTTTGTTTTTTTTATATCCATGTTACTTAAAATTTTAAATTGTAAATAAATGTTAATGCTAGTTTAATTAGTTTTGCAAGAATATATTACAATTTATAAATGTAATATGGCAGTCATTTAAGCATTTTTAAGAGTAGTAACGTTATACCAGTAAATCATTAAAATAAACACAAGAATGCTTTTTACTGTAAATTCTGACACAAACGTAATGACACATCGACGTAGAAAATCCAATTAAAAATGACCGAGATATGGCATTTTTGTGGTCTGTGTCTAAAAAACTATGATAGTGCGTGTGGTATAAGTACTTGTCTGCAACTATGTGACCAACAAACCAATATGATAGAATCATAAGAACTAAATATATACTACGCGACACAAAAACAGTCATACCAGTGTTATTTTTTATCAGGTTTTCTATCTTTATATGTTATTGCGTTTGTCTTGAAGGTAATAAGGTACTAGTGGAACCCCGTCGAAATCGACGGTTAATCTTGAGGTTTTATGTAAATTCAGCTAACTGCGTTGGATAGAGTTAAGTCATTAAAATCTTAGTTATATGAAGGGACGATAAGCAATAATAAGTATGACGATTGTGTTCCCTAAAAAACGTGATTGATGAATTCGTTTAACACAATATTTCCTACCTTTCTTTTTATCGGCTTTAGGTTGCCTAAAAGGTTTTTTAGGAGTCTTATAATTGTTTCTTCATGAGTTTGTTTCATACCAAAGCCACTTTCACTATATGGGAGAATGAGTTCATATAATTAGTCTATCATGTTACGGAAAGAGTCAATATTTATTACTGACCATTAATTCAATCTGCTTTAGGAAAATCATTCAGATTTTATCCGGATTTATAAGTAAATCTTAATCACTTTTTTTTTATAAAAATATCTGATTCTCCAGAAAGCAGTAACATTCTTACTTCGATCTCAGCAATTTTAAATCCTTCTCTTGCCACATCGACCTATGTATTTAATTATCCTGTTCTTACTTGATAGTTCATTAGCTTATGGGGTAGTTTTGCCTTGGCCATATAGATCACATAAAGCTGTGCATGTATTTCGTGGATACGAATGAACCATAATTGTAAGACATTTTATCACAAATCTTGAACATTTGCGGAACCAAATCCATAACCTAGTCCAGCATTGGTAACACATTATGCAAATGCGATGAGATGTGATGACACTGTTGTGTTTCCGAATGTTTTGTATGTAGTGAGGTTTAGATGCGTTGTTCAACCTAGCTACATGTGTACATCAAAGTAAAAACTGTGTACACATTTTTTTTAATACCTAAATTGACATAGTTCATCTACTTTATCAAAACCATAGACTCCGTAGTTAGTCTATTCCAAAACTTGATCACAGCTCTCATCCTCATCGTACTCATCTATGATACCTACAATTTTCAACCCGATTATCAAAAACTGTTATACCAATAAATTAATCTCAGGCGTTCTTTCTTGAATTTAAAAATAAATGGTGATTGAAAGTAGGAAAAAAAGGCAAGTGCCAACCTTACAATATGTATAAGCTAACCCGATAAGGAATAGTTATATGTTCCTTTGAAATTTATAAGTCACACTTATTTCATAATTTAAAATTTTCTAAGAGCAATAAAGCATTGATTTTTGAACAAAACATTTCAAACGTATCATAAATTCATCATTTTGTTGAAGCTATAAAAAACTTGCCATGCAGTGGAGAATCCATTTAAAATCATAAATAGTAATGTAAACATTAAATTTTGACAGTTTCAGTAGACCTTTGAATACAATTTTAATATTAACAGCTGGTTCATTAAAAGTAGTGTAAAATTATCCATATGGTTGAAATGTAAACAAAATTGCAGAGTGAACTTTAAAGGCCTCTGGGGCAGAGCCCCAAGGAAATTTACATCGTTTCTCTTTTGAGGGCTCACCTACAGACTAATACCTTTCTTTAGACACCCATACCAAGTTTCTACGCCCAGCCGTGTTCTCAAATTAGCTGTGACAAAAAACCTCGTTTTCCTCCATAAGAATAACATGGGATGGGAATTTAAAGGCCACTGGGGCAGAGCCCCGAGGGAATTCTCCATGTTTCTCTTTTGATGGCTCATCTACAGACCAGGACCTTTCTTTAGACACCTCTACCGGGTTTCTACGCCCAGCGGTTCTCTCAAAATAGCTGTCACAAAGAAAAACAGTTTCAAATTAATATATAGATTTTTTGTGAAATATTAATTGTTTAGTATAAACTAGTGTACATGTTGCTCGAAATCGAGCAATCGCAAAGAAGTAAATGAGTTATTAAAAACAAATAACTTATATAAGAACAAATAAGTCATAAACTCCGATGAGTTTAAAAGAGTAAACTCAAAGATTACGTAACTAATGATAATACTCACAATGTACTTAGCAGTTCAATATAATCAACATTTCTTGTAAATATTTTATCATTTTTCAAAAGCTGGTCTGGCTTTTAGTGTATTGTAGAAATGTTTACCACTTATAGCAGAAATAGGTTGTCCATGTTGGTCTTTGTCAATGATAATGTAGTCTTCATGGCATCACCCATTGTCGCCAGTACGTTTACAAATTTCAGTCTTTATTTTAATAGCACCAAATAACCATTAACTACCTGATTTTCTGCATAACCTCTCTGTCACAATTTTACAATTAACATATGTTCTTCACTTTTAATTTCTGACAGCTGGAGTTTCATAACAATGTTTGTTTCCCATGTTAATCTTATGGAGAAATACGAAACTTTAAAGGGCCCCAGGGCCTCACTCTCTAATTATTTCCCTAAAAAGAAAGTTTCCTGCACAACTTCACGTTACGCTCTTTCCAATGACACCAAAAACATGTCAATCGGTTCAGTAGTTTCGGAGGAGTAATTGTCACAAAAAACCTGCTTGCGTATTAAATAAGCATAGATGTAACAAATTTGCCAATATTAATTAAACTATCAATTAACAACCATCATCAAGGCAAGCCAACTATGAGTCTACTGTATTATTCTCCATACAAATAAAATAGCAATTTTAAATTTACAAATCGTCACTAATAACCCTACAAAAACACTTCAATATAATATATATTATATTAGTTGTTTTATAAGATTTACAAACGTAACCATTTAAACAAAAGTTCGTATTAAATAATAAAATATTTGGCTTTTTTATGAATAAAATACTTCTTTTTCAAATTTGACCATAATTTAACCATTATATTAGTAATAATTTGTTCATAAAGAATCAACAGTTTACTTAAAGCACAGAATGTATGTACTGAGAGGTCTAAAACACTATTGATACATTTAGGCTATTTACACAATATACTGTTAACTCACAATACGGTAAATAAATATTACCGCAAAGGTCCTCCGCAACAGTTCTTTTTTTCCTTTTACAGTGGATATTATTTCACACAGTCCTGGCTGGTTTGCGAACTCGTTCGAATAAACGAAGGTTTACGTGTTTGTACCAAATTTAATCAAAATTGGATAATTTTTACTAGGGTTATTGCGCTAATGAATTTCAACGGATAGTCTTTTTGGCCTCTGGGGACCTCAACATGAAAAAGTCAATTGGTCCCGGGTACAAGTCTTACCACATGTCCTACGCCAATAGCTTATTCCCTGTATGGGAAATTCGCTAGTAAAAACAGCTTGTACGTATACAATTAAACCATTGCAATATTTAACCTCCCAGATTTAACGTACACTATGGTACATGACACCCCTTCCTTCGAAACCATTTCTTAAAATAATTTCGCACAAACAAATTAAATAAACATTAAAACTTACGCCAAAACTAAAAAAAATAGCAAAAATTCAATTTTCAAATTTGTTACGCAATCCCTTTCGTTACGTAAGTATAGCAACCAGCTCCTTAAACTTGCCACAATCCGATATAGTCCAGTCAATAAAGGGATTGTAGAGGACATGGAGAGGGGGAAATTTTTTTTCTGCGGGAATGTGTTCGGGGTAGTTAGAAGATAAAAATACCAAAAGTCCCCGCCCCTGGCCCTGCTGCTTCAGCGGGGGGAGGGGGGGAAAGACCCCATTTTTTAGTTTTTTACTTCTACACTGAAAACCGTTCATCGTACGGAAAAAATGTAAATTATAAAAAGAAAGATGATGAAATTCTCTACAAGAATGGTCATATTCATTTCTTCCGTATATGCATTGGTTTAAAAGATATTCTCAAAATAATATAAAAATTCTTAAATAAATTGATTTTCACGCGTTTTTTGTCAAATAAGTTTATATAATCCATTAGCCTGTTGTTGTTTCACATCAATCAGGATAGAAAACAGGTTTTCGAACACTAACCTATATAATATAATATATCAATCGTATATATTGTGTTAAAAATAGTTTATATAAATTTAAATAAGTATGTATATTTGTCATGGAAACAAGTAATTTTGGCATAATTATTACACTAAAAATTTAAAAGATTGTGTTTGTAGCTATATTTGTCCAGGTTTATTTATAACAATTACCGAAACCAATATTATTGTTCATGGTCTGGCTCACTTGGGACGAGAGGGTCCGACTTCTGTCCCAAAAACTGGTGCCATCTGGAACTGAAAACCACCATCTGATCTAGGACATCTCCATCATTCAATTCTTGTTAACTACCCCGAACACATTCCCGCAGAAAAAAAAATTCCCCCTCTCCATGTCCTCTACACCCCCCTTTTGAGCATTCATTGACTGGACTAATAGATACACTAAAGCTATTAGGTGCTATGAAGGACTTTGCACGTAACGATCAGCTGGTGTGCCGGTGTGAGGTGTCTGGTCAGCTGGTCTACCCCCGCGCGGTGGCGGGAGATCCCCGTGTGACGTCACCACAGCTACCAGGTGATGGTCGCGCGGTGACTGTCTCAGTCAGTCAGTGTATACTCTGCCGCCTGTCGGGCCGCTCAGGCTCCTTATCAGTAACTTACAGTGTTCAGTGATAACAACATGGTGTTTCCGGACAGCTTTCTGCACGACCCCCAACATCCTCATTCTGCTATAAATGTGAGTTTCGTCAACTATTATATTTCTACATTATTTACGCAAATTATGTCTAAATTTGTTTGTTATTTCACCTCTGTTATTTATTTTTTTATGCAATTTTTTTAAGTCTGTGTACGTTGGGAAAACGAATTTATTTAGTTTCCTACGTTTTTCATCGATTGCTTAACATTTATTTAGCTCTCTATGTATTTTATCAAAATGCACAGTAAGTGTATACCGGTAAACATACTTTTAGTATATTTTTATTTTTTTCCGATGAAAACTGTTATTTTCCACAACTAGAAGATTTCATTGAAAACCCTCTATAATCACAAATATATTAATCATCAAATAAAAAATTAAGTTATATAAATTTCAGACTGGTAACACGGCCTACATATGACTGTACATTTTTATAGTTCTAAAACTTGAAAATACATGATTTAATAACGACCATTAAAAAAATTACACTGACGTTTTATTTCAAACAAACAAATAATTTGTCGAGACTCAAATCTGTATTAGAATTTAATAAACAGGCAATTGGTTTGATCGATAGAAAATTAAACAAAGTACATAAACAAGCTAAAGTTAAAGGCAATAACTTTTATGTCTAGTAACAAACTTATACAAAGTTTGGGGTTGTTACAAGAAGTTAAATATTACAACTAAATTACGTTTTTGTCCAAAGTAATTGTATACTAAAAATAACCATAATCGTTTGTGTAAATTCCTCAAATCCCTAAAATACAAATTAATTTCAGCCAATAAAGGTAGTTTCAGTATAATATTAAAATAAGGCTCTTTTACAAATTATAATAAAATGTAACCTAATGACTGACTGTAAACCTACCTTTTGACCTACTTCAAATGGCCTAATTTATTAATATTTTGCAATAAACAACAATATTTTGAACACAAACTTATTTAGACACTTAAATGTGTTTCTCCATTAGTCCCAAACAAAATTCTGCGAAAAGACATGTTTACGTCGAATTTAAAAGCTACACATTCTAATGACTTGTAAAAACGTTACTATAATGACGAGACGGAATAGAAGTTCGTATTCATACAAATATTATTGTAATTGTCAAGAAACGTGAATTATGGTGTATCTTCCGAACTATAATTGTTAACAGTAGATCAACTATAAACTTACAATCACCAAACAAGAAACCGGAGCCTTGCAAATAATTAAAAAAAGAGTGAAGTAAAATATTTAATTGAATAGAAATGACTATGATTGCATTCACAATAAATAGTAGAGATGTATTTTGGAAGAAGCTTGTAATAAAATATTCAACAAACGTTGATTAGATTATCAATCCTTTTGTAAATTAGGAAATAATTTTGATTTTCATAGGCAATTAATTATCACATTTTTGGCACAGTTCTTTTAGGATTTAAAAAATTAACATACTAAACCATGTTTAATACATTTATTACTACAGTACAAATTTCCCAGCGTCAAAGTCTCCCATGCCAGAAGTAATTTTGCATTCCAACCCAAGACAAGGAGATGTTAGACTACTTAAAATAATATGTTGACCAAAATAAATAAAAAAAACAACCAATTATAATACGAGCAATAACACGATTTTTACTCAATGAGTACGCTAAGCACATTTCATTATTCTTTTACAAAACTGTCCAAGCCCTAAAGATTCAAGTAGTAAATTCCACTTTGTTGATAAACAAAACAAGAATCAAGTCCGGTATCGGCCCAAGAACACAATAACCACAGGGCAAAGTAAGAGTCGAAACGGTCTGTAACAAACACAGATATTTTGCACATGACTATATTTAGCCGGTAAAACACCGCTCTGTTTTCGTTGTCACATTACACAGCTTACATAAGAAGGTCAAAAAGCTGTGTGTCCGGCCACTTTTTCCAATAACGGAACCAATTGCAATACAACTCTTGCTGTGATATAACTATTAGCTTTTAGCGAATTTCCCTATAGGGAAGTAGCTATTACCGTAGGTCTCATGGTAAGACTTAGGCCCGGGACCGATTTACTTTTTCATTTTAATGTCCCCAGAGGCCAAAAACACCATTCGTTCAAATTTTTATATATGTATATATATATATATATATATATAGGTATATATATATATAGATTTATATATATATATATGTGTCCGTGAACACGATAACTTGAGTAATTTTTATCCGATTTTGATGAAATTTGGTTTGAAGGTGTAAGGCGGGATAAACTTGAATGAGTTCGCGATCCAGCATGATCGGACCATGGGAACAGGGTTTTATGGGGGGTTTTATGGGGTAAAAATTGGTTTTTCTCACTTTTTACCCTCAAAACACAAAATTTCCCAATTTTTCTCTAAACCGTCTTAAAGAGCTTAAAAAAACAAACAATTCAGTATATCAAAGTGTTTTTGTACGGTTATTGGTTACGGAGAAAACTAAAAAAATTGTAAATTTAAAATTCCCATGTTATTCTTATGGAGAATATTGTAAAATGTTGTAGTTTGCTTGTTTATGGATATATTTTGATCAAACTTGGTAAATTTATTTATTTTATAGTAAGCTATCAATATTTTACTAAAAACACACTACTTTATTAGTTTCCTTGTAGCAGCAAACCTAGGTACTCGTTAAACCTAATGTTATTTAAATAGATCAATTGAAAATCAATTCGGCCAAATGGAAATTCGCTTAGACGGCAGGTTTGCTGCGGCGGGGGTATTTTAACTATAACATTGTCTTTTATTTCGTAAAGTGTATGAAAAGTCGATAAATCAGTTATAACTCAAAAATGAAACACTAATTAAGAATGACTCTTCACGACTTGTTCTAACATAATATTTTAGAGGTTTCTCTAGTCTTACATTAAATGTTAAAATTAGGTTCCACGCACGATGCACAAAACCAAAATAACCCGTCGTGAACGAATCTAAAACGGTTTGAGGTTTGCTGTGTTTGCTTATCGCATAAGAAGGAAAAGTAGGATATGTTCAACAAATGTATTGTTTCTCGCGAGTTGTCAAATCAATAATGGTTGTCGTTTCAACAATATTTAAAAGCTATGTCTACAAGCGAATTCCATTAAGATAGCCGAAGGTATCCTGACACAATAGAATGATCTCGTAAAAATCTGGCAGATTGTTGTCGACTAATGGAAACTTTAGACCTAATTGAAACTTCGAACTTAATGGAAACTGTAGTCCGAATGGAAAGTCAACACAAAGTTCCAAAATATACAGCCAGTAGCATACCAACCAAATAGCAACCATTTAGAAAAGTCAAGCAGATTTAGAAACTAGAGTTTAATCTATTCGTTGTGAAAAACTTTTAACTGTAAAATAAAAAAAATATACAACAGAGATTAATTGCAGAAACTCGATCAAGTATTACCGGATTGAGATGTATCAAGTCTTAAAATAATGATGATCTATGTCGAGTATGAAGATGAAAATCCTTAAAGTTTTAAAAATGCTCAAGGATGCTCTAAGTATGCCTTAAGGATAAGCCTTTTCTCAAATGTGTAGCCATACTTTATACCGCAGTCTAATAGCTAACTACTCTGAAAGTATTCGGTCTCGACTACCGTATCAAACAATGCCTTCTCGAGATTTGGTCCAAAACATCCACTTCGCTAGGTCCGACTGAAAATCTGACTGAACGGCTGATATGATCGTTCCTATCCAGTCGAATCATCAGAAAATCAACTTCACTCTCTTGATTGCAGATCGGTAAACGTTCTCCCGGATCAGACAATGCCTTGTGCCTGGTCTAGGTCGTAACCAATCCACGGCCCCAGCGCCAGTCCCACATCGCTCGCAATGCTTTCCATCTTAATCGATTCCGTTTGTCCGCCCCGACTGCGACTATCGAACTGTGTCTCGGCTCAATTGGCCTCGTAAATACGGTTTATTTAAGACATCCTAACACTGCTCCGAAACGGAATTCGAAATAGTTCCTTTACACTTTTTCGGAAGAGTGCATATCGGGGCGCGATTTTAACGTACCGATGTCGAGAGACATTGTAAATGTCTCTATTCCAAATTTACCAACCAAATTTAAACATCTAATTGGACAAACTAACTGATAACTACGTTCCTCTCCAAAGTATGTTGAAACTCTCGCTTCACTTATGTACAATATAAATTTATAAGTAATGTATAAACAAACTCACTCACCAATTCCCCAAGAAAAGAGACATACCTGTAACAAAGCAAGAGGTTTAACTCTAAATATAATATAATAGTTACTACGAATGTTTAAGATAACAGAAATGTTCACTCATTCCCTTAAATTATCAGAAACGACGCACTATGACTCTTAAATTTAAAGCAGCTCATGGTAAAATACCTGAATATCTTGTAACAGCCAAGGTAATATATTTTGAGAAACTGAGATATGAAATGTACACCATGTGCCACCACGTAAACATATCCACAACCATCAATGTATACGGTCTTAGTTATACAATGGTTGTACTATACATCGATGTTCACAACCAGGTTTAGCAGGGCTAACATGGTAAAGAGGGCTAAATTTTTCTTTGAAATGACACGACCAAAGTTCACACATAGGTGAACCAAAATAGTTCATAGGTGCATCTCGACTGTTTTTACACAAGATACATCTACAATATAAACTGTGACCTTAATTTTCCAAAACTTATAAAACGTCAACTAACAAAACATAAATGCATATCTTAACCCATCCGTCCTTTTCATCCCTCACAAATTTGAATATTTGAAGAGTCAATCCGGCTCGAAGATACTTGACTATAGATGTGCTCCAAGTGTTTCCTTATGGGCTGTGACAACAATAAGTCATGCGCGATCTTATGCGTCTGTTGCGCCGACACAATACGCGGGAATGCGGAGGCCAAGGCGCGCATATCTTACCCGCCAAATCACGACCCTCCGCTCTCCGGCCTCAGGGTGTGAACGAACCGGCGATCTCGGATAAAGCATTGTCGCAAATAATATTTATAGTGGAGTCTCAGATCGCATCGATAGCTTGGATAAAAATCTCAAATTCAAGTTGC